CACATAAAGGTATTGGTTAGATCCAGTGACAAGACCCAAAGAGTTCAATACCAGGCTACAGCAGTGGCGAACCAAAACTTGGAGAGCCGAGTTAAAACTGAGACATCTAGAAGAGGCATGACACATGGAACTAGAACAATCTACCCTAGTGGACGAAATAAAGGGTTTGGTTTGAAATTTCAATCACCTGAAGAAGGCTGGAGTGTACAACGTCCAAAACAATGTGAATATGGCTATGAAGATGAGGATAACAGTACGGATAATGTAAATAATGTAAGTCATCATAATACCTTATCTGAGAGATGCAGCCAGATAAAAAAAATCCTTCAATCTTTCCTCTTAATAAAGATTTTGACAATAAAACATTTTTTTAATAAGTTTCAGGTATATTTTCACCATGTATGCTCATTTTTAGTGAATCATTGGTGATTATATATATATATATATATATATATATATATATATATATATATATGAATGAAAAAAGGAAGTAAATGGATACATAAAAGTATTTAGATCTTGTAAAGCCTTCTGATGTTCATATAGAGTACTGAACAAGTTTCATCACTAATTTCTGTATTTCTTAACTATTACCATCTTTACAAAGCCATGTGTGTATGCAAGCACATTTTAATTACCCATACAAGCCACTTAAAATACTCAAGGGTCTTGTGACTATGTCATGCATGACACAAGGCAATCAGTTATTCCATCATTCCCAATTTGAGCAGTGTAAATTTCACATATCTACATAATGAAGGTTGAACCTGACAAATTCTGGTAGAAAAATATTTGTGTGTATCATGCAAAGACACACATTGTAATATAAACTGTTTCCTTATAAATAAGCATTTGGCATTCATTGACCATGCAGATAGTGATGCTGTCATTCAAAATTTATAAAATCTTAATAATAGGTTTCTGAAATCTACTGTTATTGCTCTTTCCAGTATTGATGGTAAAGAACATCCAGATACCACTTTCTTATCAATGTTGAATTTTGTACAAATCTGTGCAAAAAGTGGATCAAAGAGCTTACCCAGCTTCATACATATTTTCAGGAAATCTCAATTTCTAATTGCTCAATAAACACACAAGTGGGTGTTGCAATACACCCATGTACAAGTCTTTTTCCAGCACGTGACCAAGTCAAGTTTTCACGCTCTTTTTTCTAGGAGCCTGTCACATGGTTACATTAATTATAAATACCAGACACAAGTTCATTCTCTTCTCTTCTTTCTTGATTTCATTCGCCTACGAAAATGTAACCTTAAAGGAAACTGTGTTGCAATCCATTGTGGTCGAACGCTAAAAACATTCACACATGCACATACATACAAAATTTTCCAAACTACATTACAAGCATACAAAACATTTCCAAACCAGCAACAAAAACTCTGATCAAACTTATGCACACATCTTTACAAAACAAAATTATAATATTCTGCATATAAAAAATATATATGTTGCACCGAAGCTATCCTTTTTGTCATAATTGAATATCATTATCATTTGATTTTTATTTAAATTTATGTTTGTGGATGTTGCATGTTTTATTTGCATCACAACTTTAAATATTCACAAAGCCTTTCTAGATCCACAACAGTAGTTTCATTTCTAACCTTTTGTCTAAAGGAGTTTGGGACTATATCAATATTTTCTCAAGTTACATGTGCTATCCATTTTGGTATAAATTTTGACATATCAAGGCATAGCTACACATCTCTCCATCTCATTTTCATTTTTGAAAATCATAGAACTGGTAAAGTTACTCAAAATAAATATTATTAAAGACTCAAGTTCCATTTTCAACTTCTTTTTTTTTTACCTGTGTGGGATATATGAAAAAAAACACATAACTTAAAATATATATATATATATATATATATATATATATATATATATATATATAGGTAGATAGATAGGTAGGTAGATAGATAGTAATCCAAGCAAGTCCTATTAACACAATGTAGCATTTGAAATATTAAATATTAAATGTTGAAACTGACTCACCAAAGAGCACTCAGTGTTTATTTTCATTAAACAGAACAAAATCTTTCTTTCAATTTGAATTAAGATACCATTAGTTAATGACCATTTTCATACTGTAACTATGCCTTCTTCCATCATCTCTTCCTCTCTGACGTTCTCCCTCTCTTTCCTTCCCCAACTAACCAGTCTCCTTCTACAAACTAACAGCATAAACAGTTTGAAAAATCTAGGGAATTTTAATTTTTCATCTATGAATTTTAAAATTTAAAATTCATATGTAAAAATTTGTCATTAACTAATGGTATCTAAATTCCAATTGTAAGAATATATATATATATATATATATATATATATATATGTGTGTGTGTGTGTGTGTGTGTGTGTGTGTGTGTGTGTGTGTGTTCGAGAAATCACATTTCTGATTTGAACATGAGAAAAATACAAAAGAAATCTCGGTTTCAGCACATGGGTAGGAAAATGTCAAAAAGTATTTTTCTTGATTTATCTTAATAAAATAAAAATCATATTTAATTTATAATATAGTAATAATATTATATTAAATTATATACCGATAACAATGTTATTTATAATAATTGAAATAATATTTTAAGAAATTACTTTATTAAAATATTACTTATTTCATTATTATAGATTAAATAGAAACTGTTATTAAGATGTGATAAAATTAGATGCGATTTCATTATTAAAAATATTATCTCTTTTGAAATGAAAATATTATTTGCTTTCTCAGACACTTATTTTTTTCATTATACAAAGAAAATTTTATGACTCCCCACCACCAGTCAACTGTGCTTCTTGACATTGCATAAAAATTTTATTTGTTTTGGTTATTTTGTTTTTTTTTTCTTCAAAACAGCAAACTGACTTGTTTAGACCATCAAAAATGTCCAGATCCTTATTTTTTTCCCCTAAATTATGAAATAATCCTGGATCCACAATGACATTTATAATTACTTTATTTTCCATAACAGAATATTGTTGTTTCAATCCTTTAACTATTTACCTTATTCTGCATATTATTTACCTTATTCTGCATATTATTATCATTTTTAAATGGTTATTCATTTGACTTAATCACAACAGGTTTAGTATTCAAATTGTGGGAAAATAAAATAATAAGAAAGAATATAAAAAGAAAAAAAAAAAAACATTTCCCATGATGCAAGTAATAAAAGGAACCAGAACAGGTTTTGGTCATCTGCACGATCTTATGACCCAACTTCTGAAAAGGATAGAACCTTTCTCTTATCATTTTCCACTGGAGAGCATTCAGCCATGTTTTGCAACCCCACTCAGGAAATAAATAATATGCAACCCTTGCTCCCCACTATATGTCCTTACAACATCCTCATTCAGTAACCCTCTATCTTGAGTGGCACTTTGTCCTTTTATTGGATGAACAATAGTGTAGAAAACAATTTTTTTTTTCTCTGTGCAAACAAAGATTTGTCCAATTTCCACCACATGTCCAGGCCAACCCAGTTGCTCAGAGTGATTATGGAAGTGTATGCAAATGGCAGTTGACAAAAGTAGAATAGTATCAATGGAGTCTCATCAGGAAAACTCTTTTATGAATTCAAAAGACAAACGGTAACTGCAATAATGTTTGTGATTAAGATACTAATAAGTAAATTTGTGGAGTAACTTATTTGTGGCAAAAATTATTTAAATAATTTTTGATGAAAAATGTTTAAACTTGTTTTCACTAAAAGTTCACGTTATTAGGATCATGGAAGATTTGCATTTTATCATATAAACAAATAAAAGCATTTAGCAAATAAGATGGTAAAAAAGGAATTTGAAGTTAAAAAACATTAAACAAATTAAAAATTGGAAAAAAAAAATAAAACAAAAAAATAATCATCACAGAAAAAATTTGGCTAAAAAATATAAATAAATTAAAAAAATCAAATAAATTCAGATAAAAATAAAAGTACAAACCTAAAGGAAATGAATTTATAAGAAAAGATCTTTAAAAAAATAAAATCAATTATAAAACATATAAAATGTAAACAAATGATTACCATGAACAAACAAATAAATCAATGTAAAATTTCCAAAGATAAAATGAAAAAAATGATGTAAAAATGAGATATCAAATCTCTAATTTGGCCTTCAAAGAAGCTGTTGTGATTAAGCACCAAGTTGACATCTGTTGGCTTAAACATTATTTGCCAATCAAGCAACATGGGCAGAAGACAAATTACAGAAGCCATCAGTTATTTGGTTTCATTCTTATTTGAATAAGGCAACCAAATTAAACTTTTGCAGAAACATGATAAAGAAGATAAGGAAGAATGAAATAAAAGAGAAGAAAAAGCATGAAGAGTAGTGTAATGAGAAAGCTATCAAAATAATGATTCCTTTCTTTAAACAGTTCTTTAAAAATATTGCCCTTTTAAATTGTTAAATACAGCCGCCAACCAAGATTTGTTTATACATGTTTGGGTCTGGAGAAGGTTGGCAAATCCAATTGTGTTGGGCTTGAGTAGTTTTATATGAAGAAGCCATTCTTTTTTCTTTAAATTCTTCAAGAGCATGTGTCAAGAGGAGGAGGAGAAGAATAAAAAAACACCTTGAGAGATAAGGAAACTGAAGTGCGAATTTGACATTCATTATTTCCCTTTTAGTCATTTATTTTAATGATAGGAAAAATTGACTGATTGATAGACTTTTAAGGGTTTGGACTCCCTCCACCTCTCTCCGAGTGGGATTTTATCATTATCATTTAGTTTTTAGTTTTTCTGTTTCCAGGTAGAAAAAAAAAAAAAAATTTGTACTAGATGAAAAAAAACAAAAAAAACAAAAAAAACAAAAAAAAACAATCAACAATGGAAGCTTAACTCAAATACAACCTCACTCAGTGGGGAGGGGGGAAAGCAGCATGATGTGTCAGGTCAAGAAAAAAAAAAAACAACTTTGTTGTTCAATCAGAAAAAGAAATACAATACTGTCCAGCAGGGTGAGAAAATACACAATGCCATCTATCACAGAGGGTAGATGGGGAGAAAATATGAAGCCATACTATTGGTGAAAAAAAATACGGACACAGTCCAAAGGGGAGAGAAAATACAGCACTGTCCTAAAGGGGAAAATATTCCATCCAAGGAGGAAAAGAAAAAGGATGCCATCCAAGGAGGAAAAGAAAAAGGATGCCATCCAAGGAGGAAAAGAAAAAGGATGCCATCCAAGGAGGAAAAGAAAAAGGATGCCATCCAAGGAGGAAAAGAAAAAGGATGCCATCCAAGGAGGAAAAGAAAAAGGATGCCATCCAAGGAGGAAAAGAAAAAGGATGCCATCCAAGGAGGAAAAGAAAAGGATGCCATCCAAGGAGGAAAAGAAAAGGATGCCATCCAAGGAGGAAAAGAAAAGGATGCCATCCAAGGAGGAAAAGAAAAGGATGCCATCCAAGGAGGAAAAGAAAAGGATGCCATCCAAGGAGGAAAAGAAAAGGATGCCATCCAAGGAGGAAAAGAAAAAAGGATGCCATCCAAGGAGGAAAAGAAAAGGATGCCATCCAAGGAGGAAAAGAAAAGGATGCCATCCAAGGAGGAAAAGAAAAGGATGCCATCCAAGGAGGAAAAGAAAAGGATGCCATCCAAGGAGGAAAAGAAAAAGGATGCCATCCAAGGAGGAAAAGAAAAAGGATGCCATCCAAGGAGGAAAAGAAAAAGGATGCCATCCAAGGAGGAAAAGAAAAAGGATGCCATCCAAGGAGGAAAAGAAAAAGGATGCCATCCAAGGAGAAAAAGAAAAAGGATGCCATCCAAGGAGGAAAAGAAAAAGGATGCCATCCAAGGAGGAAAAGAAAAAGGATGCCATCCAAGGAGGAAAAGAAAAAGGATGCCATCCAAGGAGGAAAAGAAAATAACACCATCCACGGTGGGGAAAAATACAATGCCATCCAGGGGAGGTTGAAGAAAATACAATGTCATGGGGAGGGGGTACAATACAGTTCAGGGAGGGGAAGAAAGAAAATACAATACAGTCCAGCAGGGAAAGAAAATGAATGCTGTCCAAAGAGTAAAATAAAATAGAACTCCATCCAGTGGGAGGGGAAACAAAATATGAAGCCTTCTAGGGGTAAAGAAATAAAGTCGTCTAGTGTGGAAAGGAAGTATGTTGCTCAACAGAAAAAGAAAATACAACATTGTCCAGTGGAAAAATCATTAAAGCTCATTTAATTAAGATTATCAGTGGCAAGAACATTATACAGACTGTTTGAAAGCCAAGGATTTAGTGCTGTGAATTAGTCATGAAACTGCAAGAAGATACACACAAAGAGAAAGCTCAGATCTGACCCAGTCTCAAACTGCAAATAAATATAGAGAGATAATCAAGGGTTTCATTGACATGTCAAGGTTTGATGTACTCCTTCCACAAATATTGAAGAAGGTGGAGATGTTTATCCCTTTATTTCTTGATTAAGATGTAGTTTACTGGTTCCTTTCTTCCCTGTCCTTAATGGCATGCAGAACTAATTTCAACTCAGAATTAAAGGTTAGGGTTAGGGTTTTTAAACTAAGTTGAAATTAGTTCCATCACTCTCCTTAATGATTCAACTACCTTAATTTTTTTTTGGTGAACTGACTAATCAGTAGTTGTAACTTTTTATTTTGAGGGTACCAGGTTGGCATTTATTCTGGTTGCTGCATTCTGTTTGGTAACAAAGAGCCCAAACTGTTTGGTAACATGTGAAGATGCTTCTCTGGTCTACAGTCACATAATAATGGCATCTTTGCAATACAATACTGTGTCCCTGCGTGTATCTCCAGTGGGCAACTTTGAGGCATCATTATTCTTTTGTCTGAGCCACCTCCTAGCCAATTTCTATTGCCTTAGATGGCAGAGAGTGATAATTATACATTATTTACATTATTCGAACTATTGTCCTCATCTTTGTCGCCATATTTATTACAACGTTTCAGCAGTTGTACACTCCGGCCTTCTTCAGGTGGTTGGAATGTCAAACAGAACCCTTTATTTTGCTCACTGGGATAGACTGTTCTAGTTCCACATGCCATGTTTAATGAACATCAGTTATCAGTTATCTCCTGTTAATTCCCCTCTCCAAGTTCTCCACTGTGAGTTCAATATCCAGTTAAAACAGCTGTGAATTTCTCAGCATATCCTTGTATTTACATCAATTAGTAATATTAGTAGTTATATAAATGCAATTGTTAGATGAAGACTAATTTTGTGTATATTTGATAAAGTAATATGTTAGATTCTGTGCTAAGGGAATAAATATGTAATACCAAGTAGATAATAGAAGAAAGGTTTATTGTACACAACAAGTACAATATGAAATACGGTACAGTTATACACACAGGTCAATCTAGTAGTGAGTGCCACTAATTGGAAGATTCGGATGTGCTTGCGTCTTCTCTCTCTCACTCTTCCTCAAGTCTCTCGTAGACAGTTGACTTTATAGGTACTTACTACCTATAATGTAATCATTCATGGGGGTGACTGGTTATTCCATTACATCATAATAGTAACTATTTTTTTAAACTTGTAGTCTGATATAGTATGTGATTCATGTGAGGAAATACCAGAATTCTGAATTGAATTTAATGGCTATCATTAATCTTGATCTAAAAAGAGTTGATCTGTGGTGACCCCAATATGTACTGGGTTACCCTAATAAATAACAAAGTAAGATTTGTACTCAATGTCACCTATCAAGCATAGAATCAGGCCTCAAAGGATGTTTGGGAATCAGTGTATCGACATAAACAAGAAAATGAACCCAGCTGAACTGATATACACACACAAATAAAACTTGATATCATGAAGTTGCATAAATGTTTGTCCTATGAAGGGAGAAGCAGAGCCTCTTACATTATCTAAAGAAGATCAACTGTCTAAAGAAAGACCCAAAACTACACACTCTCAATTTGGCTAATGTTAATTTGACAGTCTTGAAGTATATCTACAATTATTTTACATATGGAGAGTTTAGACTTATATTCTTCTTATACGTAGCTAACATAACATTTCACAGAGTTGCAATAAAAAGCAACAGAAATAAGATGAAAGAAATATAAGGCAAAAAGTAAAAATTGACTGCTCTATGAAATTCAAAAAATAACATTACTAAAGTGACTACAATTTTTTTAGTAATTCCATTATAACCAACTGTACTCAAATTTGACACCAATCTCAAGCAGCTCCCCTACTGATGTCAGTGTGGCTTAAGCAACAAAAAAAAAAAAAAAGATGTAAGATTAAACAAAAATAGTTACTAAATACATTATTTTATACTGTATTCAAGAATTCTACTAATTCTACTAGATTAGTCATATTGAAATGTATTTGGTTTCTATTTATTATGAAAATAAATAAACAACTGATTACCAATTCTTGCACAAAAAGCAAAGCAACCAAAGTGCTGATCAAAATCCTATGTTGCGTGTAAAACAAATATGAGGTTGAAATATTTCTGATAAGTAAAGATACTATTCACATGCATGGCACCCATATGAATGTTTCGATCTGATGATGTTATTTAAAAACATAATGAGAGTTTTTAGGTTAATGTTTTGGTTTTGTAGCAACTTGTGGTGTTGGGGAAAACTACTTTTGGGGAAATATAATAGAGTAGTTCTCAGTTGCCTTTTCCATGGTTTTAAATTCAGAGTTTTCCTTCTCTTAGAAGGGTTGCCATCCAACGCGAGAGACTACCAATTTTACTTGTTTAGTTACACTGAAATGCGTTTTTTTCCTACTATTTGATTCACGCAACACAAATTTATGTAACCATTCAAGTAACTTGGTAACAAATTCTTGTGCCACAATTAAGCAACTGGGTGTTGGGTAACTTGTTAAGTTACTTGTTCTTTTAATCATTTCGCCTCGATCAAGGGGATAATGCCACTAAGATGTCAGGCATTAATGAGAAAGTGAAAGAGAATGAGAAGACTTTAGTGAGGAGAAAGGACAATAAAGTTTCAGGAAGACAGAAGATGGTCATTGATGTTGCATTTATATTTTTGTAGATTGTAGGTGACAGGGAAGCAAGAGACCACAAGAAAGTTCTACAGGTTCTTAACTTATAAAAAAAAAATTGCATTGTTTCTGATAAAGATATTCTATTCACTTGTATAAGCAATGAATTAATTCCTTTTAAGGGCAAATTGGATGTATATTTAACATTTAATTCAACAATAATATTGATTAAAATATAGAAATTACTATCAGAATCAAATGTGTCAGAAGTAAATTTTTTTTTGTATTACAACTTGTATATATTTAAATTCATCTACCAAACTAAAAACATTTCCATTACATATTAATCAGGCATATTTTACTTATATTACTCTTCTACTTTTACTGTTTTTTGTTCTCTCCTTTCTATATATATATATATATATATATATATATATATATATATATATATATATATATATATATATTTTATATTGATGCATGTTTTTCGTTAAATAATACAGACAAGTTGTGTCAATTTATTTTAAGTAAGTCCCTATCATATTGTCTGATAAAGCAATAACATTATCATTGAAAGACGAAAGGAAATCACCATATTGATACATGTTTAAATCCAATCTAAGCTTTAAAACATGTATCAATATGGTGATTTCCTTTTGTCTTTCAATGATAATGTTATTAAGCTTATCAGACAATATGAAAGGAACTTACTTAAAATAGACACAACTGTCTATATTATTTAATGAAACATGCATCTATTATATATATATATATATATATATATATATATATATATATTCAATTGATAAAGGGGGTTTATTCATATTATTTGTTATTAATGAAAATCCTGTAAACATTTATGTAGCTTCAAGATTTATATCCAAACCTGACAGTTATCTTTTCAAAGATCTCATAAATCCTTATTTTATTACTTTAGAGGAAGTATCAGTTATGATTCTTGAATTCTTTGGAACAGAGTCTTTCCAGCACATTTCAGTGGGTCAATGTCTATTCCAACCTGATCAAAACTTGAGTCTGAAGTAAAGCTAGCAAATACCTTTAGTATCATCAGTAAGCTTTTTGAGGCCTTAACCAACAAGGTCATCGAGCACCTAGATAGAAACAACTTTATGTGCATAGTATGGGTTTCAATTAGCCAGATCCAATGCTGATGTCCTAACTAACATTACACACAGAATTAGCGAGGCCCTTGATGACACACATACCACAAAGCCTATTTCTGATTTACATAAATGATCTACCTAAGAATATACTCTGATCTTTTGTAAATGTCTATGCCAATGATATATCACTAAACATCTGCACCTCTAAAAGTCTTGATAATCGGAGATTGGCAGCTGACCTTTCTTCCAATTTAACACTAACTTCCCAGTGAGGGGGAAAACTGGCTGATTACATGCAATGCCTCGAAAACCAAACTAATTACATTCCATCACTGCCAATCAGACACCAAACTACTGTCAGTCACAATGAATGGATGGCTCCTCAAGGAGGCACTGTGCCTTGAGGATATTGGACCACAAACTCACACCTGACCTCAAGTGGAATTGTTATATACGATCCATCACTAAAGATACTGGTAAAATGATTGGCTACCTCTACCACTTCAGTAAGTACCTGACTCATCATGCTATCCTCTCTGTTTATAAGAGCCAGATCAAGCTGAAAATGGAGTACTGTTGCCATATTTGGCATGTGAGCAATGAGGACATTTTAAGGAAATGGAAGCAAAAAGAACACCTATACTTAGTGTGAAAAAGGAGGGAAATATAATGAGAAAAGTGTGCTTGGAAAATTTGACACACAATAGAGCATAGTGACAGCAAGAAGGGAAACAGTGAGTAACCAACCTAACAAGCTTGTGTAAATTGGTTAGTTGGATGGATAGTAAAAAGGTAAACATTATTAAGGATAAGAAATCATTGAGAGCCATGATCACTTAAGTCTTGAAGTGTTCTTTCTT